CGAACTTGCCCGGGGCGCCGTCCCACCCTCCCTGGAGCAGTGGGGCGCTGGGAGGGTCGTGCCCCGCGCCCCAACCCCTGGCCACCCGCTCGGTCCTCTCCCTGTCCCAAAGCGCGCCAGCCGCTCTCGGCGACTAAATCCCACCTGCCCCTTCTGGTCCCCTCTGATTTTATACCCGCCCTTCTCCCGGACCCTCCCGGCTGGGCAGTCTTCTGGGTTATCTTTTGGAGAACGCGACCCCCAACCCAGGGCAGCTGGCAGTTATCTCAGGGGTCATCGCTTGCTGGGAGGTTTCCCAGGCGGCCCCTCAGTGACAGGTCCCGGGAGGTTGGCCCTGCCCCGTTTCCCAGGATCCTGGGGATCCGACCTGAGATGGACTGACCCGGGGAGCATTTCCCTCCCCTCCCCTAAATCCTGACGGGACGCGTCTCAGCCCTCGCGGTGAGCTCCTGCAGACACGCGGCCCGAAAGTATCAGAGAAGAAACTTTTCTCCTCTGACAGGGATTTGGGGAAGAGGGTAGGAAAGTGATGCTTCCTCAGCCCAGCGGGAAGAACTTCTCATTCTGTTTCTAAAGTGTCTGAACCTGTGCGGGGTCGCCCCACTCTGCACCCGTCGTGGAGCGACTCTTGCGCCCAGCGACTTGCACCGAAGTTGCGCGGAGTTTTCGATGGAGCCCAGGGCCGGGCGGGCGGGGTGGTGCTCGCCAGCTCCGCTTCCCTCTGCCGCGCTGGCTGGAGCGTGAATTCCGGTCATGGGTGATAGTGGAGGAACCCGCGCGGGAGGCAAGGGAGGGAGGTGTGGGGCGTGTGTTCTCTGAACCCCCAAAGCCCCTCCACTGTGCCTCTTCGGTGCCCGCAGATGCTGGGGAGCAAGCGACTGGGGCTCTCCGGACTGACCCTTGCCCTGTCCCTGCTCATGTGCCTGGGCGCGCTGGCCGAGGCGTATCCCTCCAAGCCTGACAACCCCGGAGAGGACGCTCCTGCCGAGGACATGGCCAGATACTACTCGGCGCTGCGACACTACATCAACCTCATCACCCGGCAGAGGTGCGTGGCCTCCGCGGGATCCACTCCGGGACCACCCTGCCGGCACACTCGGTGATCCTGGGGATATAAGAGCGGACAGGCACCGTTTCTTTTTCTTCATTATATTCCAGGGCAGGACAGGCTCAGGATCAACTCTCAGTGACTGTTTGCTTAGGGCACCGAGTACTGTCCCTCTGCAATTTAGGGTCACAAATTCCTGACCCCCAGATTCGGGTTCCCTAGGCTGGCTCTCTCCTCCCACCTGCCCCCTTGCTTTTTTGTTCCTAGAGCAGCTGGGGACTGTTTGGAAACCTGGGTGGGGAAGCCCCCTGTGAAGGGCTCGGGGGTGCGCCAGGGAAGTGCTGCGGGGCGAGTGGAGGGCAGGGTGTCCAGGAAAAGCAGCAAAAACCAGGGAGGAAGCAGCTGGGGTGCTGAAGACATTGCCAGATTTTCCAACCTGTCCAGAGCCAACTGAACGACAGTCTTGAGGGAAAGACAGACAAATAGAGCTATTTTCTTTTCTTCTAAACAGCTTTTTTTTTTTTTTTTTAAAGTCTCAGACCCTACTTGAAAATTCTGGTCCAAATAAATAGAGATTTAGCAGAAAACATTTGATCTAAAATGCAGAGACTTTTCTCATTTTGTAGAAGGTCTGAAAAGGAAGTGCCTGCTTGGTGGTTTATTAACTAGAAATTTACATTGGTCTAGTCACTCCAGGATGAATCCAGGGGTTACATGGAATTTGAGAAATTGTAAACTTCATTCTGAAACCCCAGGAAGCTAAAATGAAATGCCACATTTTTTTTTACTCTGAACATCAAATATTAAACAACACAATTCAAACAATTTTACAAATAATATAGGATTTTAAATTTGTTTCCAAAATTGGTTCATCTTAGTTGTAAATCATTGAATATTTTATTTTAGTTCCTGAGATCAAATGACCTTAATAAGCAAAAAATTATGGGTCCTTTAAAAGCATTAATGTTATTTGACATGTTTAAATTATGTTTCGTAAAGTGTAATTTTTGTTTTTATCATATTTTTATTGTTTACAAGTCAGGGAATAGTTGGAAAGGATCCAAAGTGGAGTCTCTATTTTTAAAATAAAGTTTTTTTATTTGTTTCATCAAAAAGCTATTTCATCCTGAAGTATTTTTTTAAAGTCCTAATTTATATAGAATCAGAAATACATGAAAGTACCAGAATTAAATAGTTTCAGTTTATGATCCCTGAAGCCTGATGATTTTAATTAGTGAAAAGCAACAATGTTTTATATCCTAATAGACTTATTAGAAAGTCAACTGGTTCAGATTCTTGCTTATGCTATATAGATGGGAGAAAAGAACTTGAACAAATAAGAAAGATATTCTTATCTTTTCTATGAAAACCTTTGTTAATTATTTAGTTTGTCAATCATGACGCACAATAGAACTTATTTTCACAAAGATGATTGCTATAAAGTTTTACTATTGTACGGTATAAAGCTTTAGCATTTCAAATGTTTTTTCGAGGCATTATTTCGTTCAGTCTTTACCTCAAAGCTTAGAAGTAAGGTTAATTATCTCCAGTTTTACATATCATGAAACTAAGAACATTTCATAAAAACTTTTTAGGGGTGATGAAATTGGAGCCCCCCTCCTACTGATTTTCCTTGGGTGTTGTCACCACCATCAGCAGTCAGTGTGATCTCCAATATCTTTGATGAGATAAAAAATAAGGAAAAGGGACTTGAGTATCATGAGAAAAGTTCAGTGGGAATGAGTTGGTCCTGAAGCGGAGTTTTCCATCTCATCTTCATATAGGTTCCTCCTTAGAAACCATCAGAGGTTTATAACCTACACCAATAATCTCCATTCTGTACGCTCATTGCCTTCCCATCATACACACCCACTCATATGTACATGTTGGTATTTTTGAAAATTTTAGTGTCGGTTGTGAATATATGTTTTAATTTGGCATTAATATTCTCCTTCCTCCCTGTTTCTATTCAATCTATGTTTAAGCTGTATACTCTGGTTCACTGCTTCTGAAAGCAGCATCATTTATTCTAGAGCATGATCTAACACATATTGCTTATACAGTTCTCTAGATCAGTAGTTCTCAGCTGGGGCTGACTTTTTGCTCCCCAGGACATTTGGCAAGGTCTGGAGACATTTTTGGTTGTCACAACAAGGGGTGGATGTTACTGGCAACTAGTGGGTAGAGGCCAGGGATGCTGCTAAACATCTTACTTTGCCTAGGACAGCCCCCTACAATGAAGAGTTATCCAGCCCAAAATGTCCATAGCACTGTGTTGAGAAACCCAGCCTTAGACTGATGTTTCTCCATCTTGGTCACATATTGGAATTGCCTGGGGAAGTTAAAAAATATTCTGAGGCTGGCCTGTACATCTAACCAGTTAAATTTGAACCTGAGGTAAGGGTGATGGTGGGGCTTGGACTTTATAGTGGTTTTAAAAGCTTTCCAGGTGACTCTAATGTTCAGCCAGGTTTGGGAATCTTATCTCTAGAGACTCCATCTTTGAAAGTTAAAGAATTGTAGAGAAAAAGAATAATCAAGAATTAATTAGAGAAGGAAGAACTGTGAACAGCACTGTACTTTATGACTGTGCAAATCCTGCTATTATAGATTTAGGTTCTTTACTTGTAAATTGAAGAAAATATCGGCCAATTCTTTCATTCACTGAAACATGATAAAGATAAATGAGTTAAAGGTGCCCAAGAGTTTTAAGGTTGTAAAATCAGCCGATGGTCAGAATAAATAACTATAGGCTGTAGCCTACAGTCTGATATCACAACTACAAAAAAAATCTTTGAGGAAATCTTATAAATGATGGCAGCAGGGGAGTTTGCTCAATTTTTGCTTCCCTCGAGTCCCGGAAAGGAAACAAAAATAGGGAATCTTTCACCCCGAATTAGATTTAATTGTACTTGATTGGCAGTTAGAGTACACCTTCTGACAGCTTTGTGTCTCTGTTTACTTATTAGCGAATCAATCCATGCCAGGCTAATTTTTTATTTGCGAACAAAGTGGTGGCTGGTGTCCAATGCCTTTTCCAAGAAAAGGGGAAATAGCATTTTTAAAAAATACAACTTAGTACTATAGATTTGTTAGACTCTTTAGCAGCGAGAAAGAAAGAAAGGGGGAGAGAGGGAGTAAGGGAGTGATCAGTGTACTCATTCACCTTGAGCAAGTAACGTATGCCATCCTGGCAGGAAAGAATAACCTTGCATTCATATATTGTCCTATTCATATCCTACTACAGGAGAAAAAGAGACCAAGAACATTTCTATAGGCCAGTAGGATTCCTTTATATTTATAGGGCAGATGAAAATCACAGCATGAGATAAGGCTTTTAGCTTGTGGTACCCCAAATAAATATGGAAAATATAGGACCTAGATTCTGTTGCTATCTGTAAGAATAGGTAAATTTCAACAACAATAACTTGCATTCGTGTATCATTTTTTCACTTTCAAAGCATTGTGACTCACATTGGATGTTCATAAAGACTCCCATTTAGGCATGAGTTACGATTTTGTCTTTACAAATGAGAAAACAGGTTGAAAGACACAGGTGGATCTAAAACTTCAGTCTACTGATTTTTTTTTTTTAGGGATGTTTCTGAAATATCTTCTGGTCTCTTTGTTAAGATTTGAACTATAATTCAGAACTATGGCCAATTAACTAATTATGGAAACATTTAAAATCATGCTTTGATGTATTTTTATTTCCTTCACCTAGATCTCTCTCTCTCTCTCTCTCTCTCTCTCTCTCTCTCTCTATATATATATATATATATATAAAATTTGTTGTATAAAAAGGCAAGAATTAGGAATTAGGTTGGGTTTAAATAATCCGCTAAGTTATTTAGATATTGAAAAAAATTATATCTATATAATTTGAAATCATATTCATGATGTTTCTGATAATGCATGCTTTGTACACCTAGATTACTTATTAGCAGATGATCAACTGAAAATAACTTTTAGATTTAATACCCCAAATGGGAGACTATCTTCTTTTTTTAAAAAAGTTTTAATGAATATTCTAAACTTGCTTTAAACAAATTTTTCTTTTCTTTTTCATTCTTTCTTTTTTTTTTTTAGATATGGAAAACGATCCAGCCCTGAGACACTGATTTCAGACCTCTTGATGAGAGAAAGCACAGAAAATGTTCCCAGAACTAGGTATGAAAAGGCTTATGTGGGACTTTGTTGCAGAGCTCAAGGTGCCCTGGGGAGGGAAACCAGAGAGGGCTGCCTGGGGAGGAGGCATTGGAATGTGGCGTTCTAGACCAGGTAGGAGCTGGGCAGAAATGGGGATGGGGAACAGGGAGGGGAGAACCTTTCTTTTCATGTACTCATTTGCAAATATCTAAACTTCTGTGGGGTAATATATTCTACCCCAGTTGATATGGTGTTTCTTTGAAAATGTTAAATACAAGTGACTTTTACCCTAGAAATTACTCTATAGAGAATTTCTAACTGTGTTAGAATTGGGGGAGCATAGAGTGAATCCCCATCTCAACATTCAATGACCAACCATTCATCTTTGGCTGGGTTAATCCTTAGATTTTATAGACTATGTGGAGTGTCTAGATGTCCTAAGAACTATACCTCATGAGCCTTACTTCAATCTTCCTGGTTTTACATGAAACTGTAGATAAATCACAGGGTGCTCCTGTTTGCTTTTTAACATATTTTAGTCCAGCCAATGTCACATAGTAATTTATTGCATTCAGTGAATGAATGTGGGACAGCATATTATTCTCAGGGGCTTATCTGTAGCCTTGGGGCTTTCTTGGAGTGTGCACTGTCTTGGGAGAGGTGCCACCAATGTCCGGGTGTCAGTCATTGGGCCAGGATCCTCTGGTGGCTCCTGGACAAGGAGTGCTGCTGAAAAGAAGCCTGATCTTCCTTCTTTTTCATAATTGGCTCATCTGTCCGCTGCCTTCAGCCTCTACCCCCAGTAAGATCACACAGCGTATGGTTCATCCATTTCTGTGGTAGCTTGCCTGCCTTAAATCCAGAGCTTGACAATGGCAAAAACCAAGTTCCCCAGAAGAGGTCACTAGAACACTTGCTCAGTGAGTGGGACTAGAGTGTCACTCTTCATTGGGGTTCTCCCTAGAGAATAAAGTGGATGAGCCACTAAGTCACCACTTTTCCTCCTACTCGCCTGTCTGTTCTCTTGTGAAATGGCCAGCCTGGGTGAAGGTGCAATTCTAGAGTTGTCAGGTTTGTTTTCTCTGAAGGAAACAACAATTTGGACTGGAATAAAACCTCAATGCTCTTGTCCCTGCAGGTACCAGCCAGATTTAAACAGCAAATGCAAGGAAAGCAGATGGAAATTCATAAGGGTCGTTTTTTATATAATAAACAATAAATGCTTTTTTTTACGTCGCATGGACATGCATGTGATGTTTGCTACAGTAAGTTTAGGGTGAGCTATATCTACTTAAGATAAGAAAAAGAGCCATCCAGACCTACTTACAACCTTGCTGCTGTGCTTTGTTTTGTGGCCTGAAGTTGCACAGTTAGTGTATGAAATAAAGTTAATTGCACCCTGATTGACAGCCACAATCACGTGTAGTTAGGAGATAAAACTTGACAGCCTTGAAGTTGCCTGTAAATGCTATTTTCTTAAAAAGGGTTCTTTATAGTCCAGTAAATAGCATCTCACTACATAAAAAGCCTTGCAGGAAAACAAAGGAAGCATATTCAGAGTTGAGCAACAATAACTTTCTTGTTACAGCTTTGTGTGATTCCTGTGGTTTTGATCTTCAGAAATGTTGCAGACTTCTTTGGCTTCTTTGATCAATATAGAGCCTTTTAAATAGTCCCTCTGATATTTGCCCGAGACTCCCGTTACTATGAGCGAAAGCTACTCAGCTGGGTCTTTGCACAGTATGCCGCTGTTTCTTGCTCTGAAATTCTACATGGCCTCTTATTCAGAATGCCAACAGGAGCCTTTTCAGCAGTTCCTGATCATCTTTCAGTTCAGAATGCAATGTCTCACTCTTGCAAGACTCCCAGGAAGCTGGGAAGCTTCTCTTACATGCTTTGCTTCTTATGTTTGACAGGCTGGAAGACCCTTCGATGTGGTGATGGGAAATGAAACTTGCTCTCCAGTCTTTGCCTATTTTTCAGTCCATATTCATTCTGTAAAACTAGAGTCCGCCTGTCCTCCCAGTGCATGCAGCCGCTGTACTCAACTCTGCGGTTTCCCTGTGTCGTCCTTGTATATATGTGCGTTTAAATAAAGTTCCATGCATTCAAAATTGCTCCAGTGGAAAATCTGTTGTTGCAACAGTGAGAATTTCTTTAAGTTATTCATTCAGTCCCAGTCTCCCTCAAGTAGCAGATGCAAGGTTTGTTTCACCAATATTAAAGCAGTGGCTATGGAAGATATAAAGATAAGGTCTATGATGAACAAAACTCAGAGATGTGTGTGTGTGTGTGTGTGTGTGTGTGTGTGTGTGTGTGTGTGTGTGTGTAACAATAGAAGTATTTGGAAACATCGAGCAGGGGAATGCTAATTTGGAACAATTTTCTGAACTTTTTCTCCCATTCACTTGGAATCTTTCTTAACCTCGTTCACCTATTCTGTCAGCAGAAAGGGTTCTTGGCCAACAAAACTTTCTGCAAACTGTCTTATATTTCCTCTGCCTAATACTGTAGCCACTAGCCACATGCAGCTTTTGAGCATTTAAATGTAGCTAGTGCAAATAAGGAGCTGAGTTTTAAATGTTACTGAATTTTAACTTAAATAGCCAAATGTTTCTAGCAGCTCAGGTACATACACTTTCTTAGGCCACTACTTTTAGAATGTGAGTCATAAACAGATACACTGAGTCGGATGGCTACCTTTTACACAACCCGGGGTATGTTAATCAATTTAGCTAAAGGTTATTGCACTTAGTTTAAAGTGAATGCTATTAGATTCTTACACGTAATTTCTAAATCAAAGAAAACAAGTCACATCCTACATTTATACTTTGAACCACACTGTAAAAAATATGCACAAATATTTTTATGTGATTTTTAAAAACTGCTTACGAAAACCCTGTGTACACCATGACTTAGAGAATCTTATAGCATATAAAGTATTCTCCATATAAAAGAATTCTAATGCTTTTTCAGCCATTGAAGTCAATGAGGCTCCAAAGAATAATTTCCTTTAATGAAACTAAGATAAAAACTGTTCCATAATTTTCCTAAACTTCTCCTTAATTTTGTTTTTTTGTGCTTTGAACTAAATACTAATATATAAAAAAAGCATTTTTAAAAATCTTAAAATATTTAGGAACTCACAATTTAGTATCACACAGTGTCAAAGTTCTTTATTAACCTAGTATATATTTGGAGATTCTCTTTATTGAAGTTAGTATTATACAAAGAAAGTTGCCACAAAGATTTACTTGGCAGCACCAACAGGCTGAAAATTCATCACTATGTATAGAACTCTTGGTTACATGGAGCAGAGATAACAGGAATAATATATATGAATCATTAGAAGATGATCCAGGAATTTCATTTTAAACAAAAGTTTAAACCTCTTATTACATCAAATCTAAATGCCTGAAAGCCTAAATGTTAAACAGCCCACATTTTACTTATAACTCAGGCCTCGATCTCTTACCTCTTCACCTCATCTTACTAGAAAGAGCACTGAACTTCCGCACCACGTGAGCTCTGTGGTTCTGACTCAGTTACTTCCAGATTCTCTGACCTTCAAATGCACTGAACGTCTGAGTTCTCACTCATGAAATGGGGATAATAAATCCTGCCCAGCTGTCCATGAATGTCTGTAAGGGGATCACAATTCAGTTTAAGATAATGAAGTGAGTAACAGTAAAGAAATGGATAAGGATGAAATTTTTGGTGATTCCTGTGCTGGGTTATAAATCTCTGGCTATAGATTAAATGTTTGTGTTCTTCCAAATCCCTATGTTAAAATCTTATCCTCAATGTGATGCTATTTGCAGTTGGGGTCTTTAGGGGGTGCTTAGGTCATGAGAGTAGATTGTCATGAATGAGACTAATGCCCTTATAAAAAGGGACCCCAGAATGCTCCCTTGTCCCAGCTGTCATAGGACATGGTGAGAAGATGGTTTTCTATAAACAAGGTCGTGGGCTCTCATCAGACACCAAAACTGCTGGTGACTTCATCTTGGACTTCCTAGCTTCCAGATCTGTGAGCAACAAATTCCTGTTGTTTTCAAGCCACCTATCTATGGTAATTTACTATAGCGGCCCAAACAAAGTAAGATATCCCTAATAAACATGAATTTGCTTTAAGAAATACAATAATAATAAACTTTTAAAAATTATGAAACTGCATTTCAAGAGATTCCCTGGTAGTATTTTTTAAACATTGCGAGCCTGCTGTCCCTTCTTGGAATAGGTATAAACACACCAGGTTACTCACCAGTCATTGCAAATAGTAATATTAATCCTCACTGGAGTTACAGTAACAACAACACAACATTCACTAAGGAGATGCTCATAAGCAACATAATCATTATCAAGTAAAAAAAAAAAGTATTCATTAAGCTCCCTTCTGATCCAAACTCTATTCTACATTCTGAGAGAGAAAAATTGTACATACGTTTTTTTGCCGATGCCATTGTGTTTTTATATTGATCCTTACAATGCTACTACACATTCAAACAGGTAACCATCACTCCCTTCCCCCATTTTCACAGACGAGGAAACCGAGGCCTAGTTAGAGGGACCAGACAGTAGCTCCCCTACTTGAGAACTTTACCCTGTGTGATGCTGTCTCACAGGAAGAAGTCAAGGCCAGGTCACATATCATCTAATTAAAAAGCTCTGGCATACTTAAAACTAGAGAATAACAAAGTACTAAACTGTGCAAGGGGCATTTAGTGTGGGCAGAATTAGCTGGAAAAGGCTCGATGGAGCTGGAGTGGAAGACTTTCAGCTGGGCTAAACACAGGGGTGAGTCAGCCACAGCTTGTGTAGGACTATCCAGGGGTCTGTCTACCAGACAGGAACAGAGGCGGAGTGACCAGGGGTGGGATTCGTGATGTATGTCCAAGCATGCCAAACTCATTCATTTATTTATCCACCCATCCATTCATCCACTCATCCATCTATCTATCATTCGTTCACTTAACATTTTTTGATCACCAAATAAGTATTGGACATTTTTTTTTGTCCCAGTACTAAGCACTGGGGATATAAAGGTCAATAATAGTTTCTCAGGCAATATACCATCTAATGAGAGAGACAGATAATTGCAGTGCATTGTTGGAAGTGCAAAGAGGTTTGGGATATAGTCGGGTTCTTCCTTCCCACTCATCATGCCTCCCTTTGCAGTTTCCTGACCAAGGAGATGTAAATATGAGAATCAGCTGCCAAACGGGGAACAAATTGCCAGATGGGCAAGTATCCAAGTATGCAGGGCTCCCCTAAGCTGAATCAGGGCAACTGGACGAGGCCCAAGCCTCTAAAATACCTGTTCTCCCATATCAAATCTCAGCATCCTGGTGGAGATCGACAGGAATAGTGAGTTCTGTGAAACAGCCTCCCAAATCCACTTACCCAAACAGCCACATATACAAGAAGAGCCAGCCCGCCACATCTACATCAGAAGGAAAGATAGACGTGCATTTGGGAATGCACGTCGCCTTCTGACACAGTGTCCCTGCTCACGGTGCGATGTGGTCTAAAGCATCAATCAGAATAACAGCTGCCCTCCTATGCAGAA